ATATAAATTTTTTTTGATTGATTTAAACTTCTTAATTATCATCATCATCAAAGTTTTTCATCTCTTTCTTTTTTTATTTCAATCATTCATAGAAGAGAGATATATTTTGAAAAAATAATAATTTTGAACTTACATTGTATCATTTCTTCCACTTCTATATATCAAAACTTTGATTTATTGAATCAAACTTATAAAATCATAATATTTATCAAAGTTTTACATCTATCTTTTGGTACTTAATTTATTATTATTATTCATTAAAAGAGAGATATTTTGAGAAGATTTTTGAATTAACATTGCATTTATTTCTTCTCTATCTTCATATTGAAAGAATTGGATTGATTGCATTAAACTTTGAAATCATCATATGCATCAAAGTTTTTTCTCATATAATATTTGAGCTATCATTTATTGCTCTTCACTGAAGTGTTAATCTCTCTTATTACTTAATTCATTTGTATCATTTAGCCCCCATTTGGCCCCTGTAAAACTATTCAATTTAATTTAAAATTTTCTCTATCCTATTACACAATTTTCAATAAAATAATATTATACACAAATCGAAAACTTTTCATTTTTTTACAACAATCCATTTTTCAAAAAAAACGCTATTCCCCCCATTCTAAACCCAATAATGGGGCCCAACGGGGGCTTATTAAGATAGAGATTTCATTTTAAAATCATTTCTCTAAACTTGTGGGTTGTATTGAGATCCCGTGAAAACTCAATAATATAAGGATCGGTGCTCTTTATTGTAAGTCATCGTATGGGTCATATTGAGGTCCCGTAAAATTCATTATTGTATAAGGATTCGTGCTCCTTATTTATAAGTCACCGAAAACGTTGTAAAGAGTTGGATTGCACTACAAGTCAATCAATATAGTGAAAAGACCTTAATAAACATATCCTTTGCATACTTGATTTAAGTTTATTTTTCAAAAAACGTTTAAAAAATCAATTTACCCCATTCTTAGTTAGTTATTCTTGAGCTTTCAAAAGCGAGACACATTCTCATGAGTGAAACATGAGAAGTTAACAAGGGTTTGATCAATTTCTATCTTTGAATGCTACTTACAATAGTTGATTAAAATGTCGTCCTTTCAAAACTTGTCTAAAGGATGGGGTCTGGTTAGCTAAGGCTACTCTAATAAAACCATGATAAGCTCAACTTTGTCTATTCATTATTTAAGATGACATGGTCGTATCACTTAGATAAGTAAAAGTACTTGATCTATTTTTACCCAAAAAAAAAAAAAAAAAAGGAAGAAGAAATATTTTTTAAGTAGTTTTTGAACTTAAGAAAACTTTCTTTAGTATAATTGTGGTGGGTGAAGGGGGGTACATTGGTTAACTTCAACTTTTTCATTGCGTCTTTCGCATCAATTTTCTTGCCTAACACGGTTAAAACTAACAAGAGTATTTTGTAAACATAATCTAACGAAGCGAATGGCGAGGGGGAATATTATTTATTTTAATTTAGATATTTCTATATTACCTTAATATTTTTTCTTGTTTAACTAGATATTTCAAACTAATATCTTTGGTCATATTTGACGTGACCAAGTGCCAACTTCCCTAATTCCAAATCTATCCTCCATGAACCAAATTGACCCCATGCAATGAATTGTGATAAGAAACACACAGAGATATACGTATATATGAAGAAAGAAATTGTATTATAGCAGCCTTTGTCCGGTACCACATGCAAATATTGGATAAGCACAATGGATTTGGGCATATTTTCTTGAATGCTACGTGTTTGTGAGAGCCATTCATAGGCGGCCTCCAGATGCCCAATTAACCTATGCCTAACTGATTATATCTATTTGATGAATGATGATTAATAAGTTAATTTTCACATTATTTGAGCCTTTATTACACAAATAGGTCTAATATATAACTATCTATTGTAAGAAATATGATAGCTTTTTAAAAATCCAAATAGTAATAGGAGAGGAAGCACATCAACACAGTGCAATGGAACGTGGACACTAGGCTAAATGGAATTTAGTGTCTAGCATCTGGGCTATTTTGATGGGATTGGTGACTCAGCATCGTTTGCATAGACTCCCATTGATAGAAAGATGAGCCCATCACAGAGATGTACAAAAGAACAAAACGTTTGGTTCAACTATCGTATGCCACTCAAATATAAATAATTGTGCATATATTATGATATTAAACACTAGATTGAAATTAGAGATGAGCATGAGTCGGTTCGATTTGGTTCTTAACCAGTAAATGGAATCGTCGGATCCAAATATAATTATGGAACCGTTCGGGTTCGGTTCTGTACTATAATTAATTTTTTTTACATTTATAATAACATTATATAAATAAAACTAATGATATTTAATAGTTTTGGAATGTCAGAGATTAGTACACTACTTTGTTCAAATGATCGCTACGGTCAAAGTTTCGGTTGACGAAGGTCACATTGTCGGCCGATGATTGTATAGATTTTGGAATGTCAGCGAGGCTACGAGAGTTGAAATAGCGTTATGCACTTTAGTGTAGGTGTTTAGAGTTATTTAGTGGATTTGATATTTTTGAGCTAAGAAATGAAATAATAAAATGGGTAATTGGGTCAAAAATTAAAAAATTAGATATGAAACAAATTATTGGGCCAAAAATTTGGATTTATAAATTGTTAATTTGTTCAGAAAAAATTAAAATTAAAATAATTTGATTTATTCAATATAAAAAAAATTAGAAAGATTCGGTTCTTGGTCTAGAATCGAGAACCGAACCGTACCCGTCAGTTCTCAATTCAGATACCCGTTCGGGTATTTAATTTGACAAGAACCGTCGGGTTCGGTTTAGTTCGGTTCGATTGGTTCGGGAGATTTGTCCAGCCCTAATTGAAATATAAGCCTATGGTTGATGGGGATTAAATTCAAATTTTAGTAGATTTTTTATAAAAGTTGATGAAATGTATGGTTGAATAGTTATAGACCCCATAAAATATGTAGTTAAAATTAATTGTTAACTTTAATTTTGATTAAATTTAGATTTTAATTTTTACCAAACATGGGCTTAATATATTTTGTGCATAAACGGGTATGTTCAATACTTGATTTAAATAAAATGATTGTAGAAACCATTTTAGAGCAACTTTTCTATTATATAACTTGTAAATATTTCGAAGAAAATCTAGAGATAGATAATTAAGATCACATACCACGTATATTATACTGATTTTGAGAGGGAAAAAATTCCAAGAATGTGAAATGAGCTCAGAGTATCCAACTTTTTATATCTATAATATACGCCTTGTAGAATATATCTTTACAATGATTTACGATATAATTTGAAAAAATACTTAATGTATCCGCTACATAATTTATTTATTTTAAAACAACATCAGCTACATAGTTAAAAATGTACTAAATCACTCTTTATTTCATTTTTATTCTGCAAAAATTAGTAACAATAGTGCAATTTAGCAATCTTATAAATGTGCTTGCTGTAGGTAGTTTAGAAGTGGACAAGAGCATATACCAGAACGATAAATATTCTAAATGCACGACACATGGAATCCTTTTTCTTTTTTTTCTTTTTTTTTTAAGTAATTGTTTAAAACTCCAAAGAAAGACATTTTCTCTCGATTATTTCATTGATAATGAAACCAAGAACCAACCAAGAAATTGCCTTCAAATCAAGGTAGCCCATGACAACTTGCATGTCACTACAACATATTAAAATGTCCACTTGATCAACTAGGTGAATCATTAGATAATCATTGGACCCCCTACAAAGATTACATTAAGCCCTCGTTTGGCCCCATTTTTTGAAAAGAAAATGGATGATCGAAAATTTGTTTATTGTATGGGTACTTGGTCTTGTTCAGTATTTCGTACGAGACAAACTTAATGTGAATATAAAATACGGTGTTGGAAAGTATATTGTAGAATGACAAACATATTATTTGATTTATGTGAGTTACATAAAAAACAGATTTTGATAAATTTTATAAAATATATGATCGATAAGTTAATTAAATTTATAGGTCTCATGAAATGTGTAGTTAAAATTGAAATTCAATCAGTTAAAAATTTTAAAATTTTATTAAACAAGCGCAACGTATTCCGTTTATCATAATTTATGAGAAATTGTGCTTTCGATCCTTTAAAATATTGTCCCAACGGTACTAAGAAACTCATACAAATTTCTAATTAATCATGAAGGCCTTGTTTGATTGCGAAGATGGAATTTTGATGGAAAGAAAATGAATTTCAGATAATTGAATTACTTAGAAATTGTTTTCCTGAAAATTGTAAATTATTGTGTTTAATTGGTATAATTTTTCACGTGAAAAATGTTGAAATAAAAGTATTTTTTGGTGTTCGTCTGGCTTTGTTTTACATGGAAACTGTCAATTTAAGGAATATCCACTTCTACTATTGGTCCTAGAATTTGTTTCCATTGTCAAAAAAAAAGGAAAAAAAAACTATCAAAAAATCATCTATATTTTGATGTTCGTTTGGCTTTGTTTTACATGAAAATTGTCAATTTCAAGGATATCCTCTTTTACAAATGTTCCTAAAATTTGTTCACATTGCCAACAATTAAAAAAAAAACAAAAAGCAAAAAAAAAAAAAGGTGGAAATTCAAAAACCGCCTACCCCTAGGAAATAAAATGTGGAAAATAACACTTTAAGGCGTTGTATCTAAAAATTCATGAAAAATCAATTCCCTCGAAAATTTTATCAATTAAATAGACCAAAAATGAAAGTTGGAATTCAAATTCCAAATCCCTAAAAATTTTCGTGCAATCAAATGGGCCGAAGTGTCTTCAGTCTTCACATGTCCAACTTTGGAGGGTAGTGGTGCATTTTTCCTCTAATATGATCGTAAATACGAAGTGGGTTTTAGATTACGTGTGATAAAAATCTTATGCAATGCAAGGTAGGACCCACCTCCATATCCTCACACCTTCGTCCCACGATCACACGTGCTTCATCATTCCTACTTATATATACAAACCAACAATTTCTTCAAGAAAAATCTAATCCAAAATAATCCGATCTACGCTAAACTCTGATGGCCCTCGTCCGTGAACGCCGCCAGCTTAACCTCCGCCTCCCTTTGCCGGAAAACTCCGAGCGCCGCCCTCGCTTCCCCTTACCCCTCCCACCCTCCACCATCACCACCACTAATTCCTCCTCCTCCACCACCACCATCACTGCCGCTGACCTCGAAAAACTTCATGTCTTGGGCCACGGAAACGGCGGTACTGTCTACAAAGTCCGCCACAAACACACTTCAGCTATTTATGCATTGAAAGTTGTTCATGAAGATAGCGACACCGCAATCCGCCGCCAGATCCTTCGTGAAGTTTCCATCCTCCGCCGAACAGATTCCCCGTACGTCATCAGGTGTCACGGCGTCTACGATATTCCCGGCGGCGATATAGCAATCTGCATGCAGTACATGGACATGGGCACCCTCGAGACCCTAATGAAAAACGGCACCAAATTCTCCGAGCAACTTCTTTCCAGGATCTGCTTCCAGGTTTTAAGTGGGCTTGAATATTTGCACTCCCACAAGATCATTCACAGAGATTTGAAGCCTTCAAATATATTAGTAAACAATAAAATTGAAGTGAAAATTTCTGATTTTGGAGTCAGTAAAATCATGCACCGAACATTGGATCCCTGCAATTCTTACGTTGGAACCTGCGCTTATATGAGTCCGGAAAGATTCGACCCGGATACATACGGGGGCAATTACAACGGGTACGCCGGTGATATATGGAGCTTAGGATTGACTCTACTGGAACTATTCATGGGCCATTTTCCATACTTGCTGGAGGGGCAAAGACCTGACTGGGCTACACTTATGTGTGCGATATGTTTCGACGAACCACCGAGCTTGCCGGAAAGTGCATCGGAAATTTTCAAGAATTTCATTCAGTGTTGCTTGCAGAAGGATTCCAGTAAAAGATGGAGTGCAACCCAGTTGTTATCACATCCTTTTGTGAGAGATATTGAATTGAAATCAACATGAGGATGTTAATTTCCGAGGATTATGGCCGGAAATCCGGCGAGGGTAACAATTTGGGATACTGTTTGTATATATAAAAGCAGAATTTTCAAGATTTTAATTCTTTAGTTTTATCTGTATGTTATTTCCTTAATTTTCTAGGAATCTTCTTTCTGTATACAGGGAGGATCCATCCGTTTCAACAGAAACTGCTGTAGAAATTGGGAGATGATAATCAACACTCTTTCATTTTAATTAATTAGCGACGATACTTTCAATAGCTTTTTAATAAGCGACGATTCGTTCAACAATTAGATCCGTCCCGATTACCAGGGGAAGTTAGTTGCCAGTCTTTCTTTTTTTTCTTCCAATGATTTATTAAAATTTTTTGCATCTTGTTGAATACAAAAATTGACGTGACACTCTTTGATCAATTTATATTAATTTTTATAAATTAATGATATGATTTTGTTAGAATTTCAGCAAAGCATATAAAAACGTAATATTGTTGAACTTTGTATTATAGTATTAAAATATTTCTCAGTTCAATCATTTTTAGTTGCCTTTATTACCTTCCTATAGTCACACCCTAATCTTGTCAAGCTACGATGTCCAACATAGGACTACGTGACACTGCCCACCTCATAGGATTTGATTGGCTAGAGTTCAATTACACGGAGTCATCATGAAAACTTGGCCGTAGGCCTACACCATACACCATCATGTCGTCGTCCTACTAGGTCCATTAGAGCGGTGCTACCATCAACAAGAAGCACTTTCTCTGATGTTTTCATATAATGTTTCTTATAGTCCGACTTTGATCAGAATCGATGGGATCTTAAGTCAAAGTTATGAGCTCTTTTGATTAAGTTAAAATGGACCTATACTGCACAACACTTGTAAATTAAAAATATGAGAATTAATAAAATTAAATCACAACAATTTGCTTGCGTCCAACAAGAATAGTCAGTTGAGATTATATTCATATGAAATATATTAATAATTTGTACCTTTCTAACATCGTGGATGAAGCAGCCGTACCCCCAACCAACTAAAATTATTTAAATTTTAGGATAATTACGTACTTACATTAAGTTTCTAATAATTTCAAAGGTACCCTTTTCTTTTCCAAAAAATACACAAACTTTCATTATTTCAATATTTGAATAATGGATATATATCTCAACGAGGATTATAACAATTTCAAATATATTCATTCATTTACGAAAATTACACAAATACCTCTTATAGTCCCTATCTCAACTAGGGATGTCAATGGGCCGAGCTGACCATGAAACCACAAGACCACGAGCCGAGCTCGGCTCGTCCAAAAAAGGGCGAGCTTGGCTCGGCCCACGAGATCGCGGCTCGCGAGTAGACGTCGTTTTTATTTTTTTATTTTTAGAACAAATAGGTAATTTGAAAAATAAAAAAGTAATTTTTTTTTAACTAAAAGAGATAGAAAAAATAAATAAGAAAACTTTATTTTTTTATTTTTCTTTTTAAAATAGATAAAATATAAACCCTCCTCATTTATCCTGGCTTGGGACCGGCTACTTAAATTTTCAGTAGGCGGAGTTAAAAATTATACACGAACAATTTTTTATAGCGTGTATAATTTTTTAAAGAAAATTAAAAGTAACGATAAGAAAAGAAAAGTTTTATCAATATAATTAAATCAAATATCACTTATTTGATGACATGCAATTTCGGCATATTTATCTTGTAGTCGAAAATGAGCGTCCTGTCAATTTTTAACGCACATTAACGCTTCTACAATATTTTCTTTCAGTCGGCTCCTGACCTCGCTCAAAACTCTTTTACCTGCACTAAAAGCAGACTCCGAAGCAACAGTGCTAACCGGAGGTGTCAGTAGATCTTTTGCAATAGCAGATATAACTGGCCAACGTCGTTCATACCTTCGCCAGAATTCAATTACTTCGCCTGAACTTTTTTTAATTGTTTTATCTGTTGGCGTATTCTGATTGAAATAATCAATTAATTTAGCAGGCAATGCATTATGTCTTGAGCCTGTAGATGTATGATGAGAATGAGATACAGATAGTGATGACATGGCAGTGGTAGTGGTAGTAGATGAACACATTGCAGATAAATCAAATCTATACGAATTAATCTCTTGAAATAAATTAAATATTTTCGCATCTTCTTCTTCAATTTCAGTGGAAGGAGTAGGTGCAGATGGTACCCGACTAATATTGGTATCCATTCGTTCACATATAATTCATACATTTCACATAATGCTTGCTCTAAATTTCTATATGTGATAGGTGTATCAAATGTTAAGGCATTTGAAATTTGATCAATTATATATTTAATTCCCGATAAATTATATTGGGGGTCCATCACGCATGCTAAATGAAATAACATAGGCAAATCTTCTCAATATTTTCTAAATTTTAATTCCATAACAATTATAATTTCACTAAAATCAGGGTCATTTCTGTATTTATGAAATGTTCTTACAATTATATAAAGATGTTCAAGCACCATGCAGCCAGTGGGATAGTAAACGCCCGATAAAATCTTAATGATTTCATAAAAAGATGTCAAAATTTTTTTAACTTTTAAAGCTAAATACCAATCACGTTCAGTCAACATACCCTCGTCATCACTTCTAACATGTCTATTGTTATAAAAGTCAGTTATTAAATGTTCAAAACCTTCACATGACTTTAATAACAAGTAAGCAGAGTTCCACCTATGACCTACGTCGCTAACAAATATTTTAGTATTTTGCACTCCTATTTCGGCACAATAATCCTCAAATACTTGTTTTCTACTTGGAGAGATTGTGAAATATATTAGTGCATTCCTAATATTTTGAAGTTCATCCTTTATATATTTTAACCCATCTTGGACAATTAAATTCAAAATATGACATACACAAAGAATATGAAACAAATATCCACCAAAATCAGGTTGTAGTACCCTATACAATTTTTCAGCAACTACTTTATTAACATTAGCATTATCGAAAGTAAATGAACGAATTTTACTTTCGCAATGATATTCTCTAACAATACTAATAATAGCATTAAATATATTATTAGCGTTGTAAGAAAACTCAATAATTCTAAAAGTAATAATTTTTTCATGCATGCACCAAAGTGAGTCTATATAATGTGCAGTTGCAGCTATATAAGCTCTTTTATTATTCTCTTCCCATATATCTGAAGTTAAAGATATGACACTCCCATATTTTTGCAAATCCATAATTAATTGTTGTTTTGTTGAAATAAAATACTGTGTTGTATCAGAACAAAGAGTGTTTCGACTTACCCCAACGTACCTTGACCGCAGATATTCTTTCACATACGAAACGTAGTGTTGGTTGTCAATTAATGCCAAAGACAACTCAACACCAACAACAAGTTTCACCATTCCGGTTCGAGCTTTCTCCTCCGAATACATCAATGTGGATAGGGGTGCAGTAGAACCACCGACGTCTGGACTGTCAAATTGCAATTGTGTTTGACAGCCTAGAATAAGTCTGTGTTTGGCCGCATATACTTTGTAATGACGGTTGAGATAGGAGGTATCAATTCCTCTTTGCCATGCCAATCTTTGTTGGCAGTATTTACATACTGCTTTGGATTCTTGGACTCCAATAACGATTTTCCGATGAAATCAACTAAAGTGATCCCAACATTTTGCTTGTTTTTTCCCCTTTCGCTTTTCTCTTGCATCAGGAATGTTTAATTTAGCCTCTTCTTCCTGATCGTGTTCCTCTCTGGGAACGTCAACGTCATCCAAATTAATTGGATAATTTGGGTTGCCGTTTACATGATGATGAAGATCCAAATCTGAAATATTTTCAGGTAGGGGTACGCCATTTAGACCTTCAAATTGATTCTGAAATTGACTTTGCGGTGTCATAGGCGATTCGTTTCCTCCCACACCGAACAAGTTTTCGAAAAATGAGCGTGGATCCATTTGTTTAGTTATAATAAGTAATAACTAGTAGAAGAATAATTGTTTAAATGTTGTGAAAAATAAAAATTGGATGAAATTTCAATAAATATAGTGAGAACTGAGAAATAAGAATTGGATATTGTATAACTTGTATATAAAAATTGCAAGTTATCAACACAATACAAGAAATTTGAGAGAAAGATAATTGAGAGTTGAGAGAATTGTAAAAAAATTTGTGGCTAAATGTCATTATTTATAGAAGAAAATGAAAAAATAAATAAATAAATTTAAGGACCAATAAATTTTTAAAAATACCTAAAATACTCGTTTAACACTTCTAACTAAATCAAAACAAAGTATATAAGGTTTAAACTATCAATAAATTTTTAAAAATACCTCTAACATTTAGTCGACTTGAAATATATATGTTGCGTATTGTCATACTTGACCGATCTACTTGGGCCAATGGCCCACTCAAGCCAAACCACGTGGCACTTCAGCTGAGGCGGTTTATATTGCCGAGGTGGGCTACGGCCCAAGCCCTTAAATCCGAGGCATGCCCTTTCACCGAGGCCTGTAATGGTAACCGAGGTCGACATGCTGAGGCCTATAGCCCGACGCCATGATGCAGAGCTGGTTGAAGTTAGCTGAAGCCCTCATGTGGAAGTATTGTATGAAATGGCCGAAGCCCCGAAACTGATGCAGAAGCCTCCGAACCACATGGGAACGTCCTCCATGATTACTTCTCCCAAGAGATCGTCTACACAAAGATCTTATTCGAATGATTGATGGAATGTTTGTCATAAGCATAGAGGTCAAGTCTTGTCACTAGCATGGAGGCTCTGCACAAGCAATAAATGCGCAACAAGCTAGCAAGTCAAGCCCCCTGCCTAGGATAAGATGTTTGAATCAAAGAGATGAGGCCACGTGCCACCTCATCCAAGGGCCCCCATTTCACATGTATCACTATAAATACTTCCCTTGTGTAACATCAAAGGACTAATGCAAGAATCAATACAAAGAACTACACTTTACTCAACTCTCTCTCATTTATTTGCAATACACAAATCGAGTTTACATATATTCACATGTACATTTACGAACACCGGTTGGTAATTATTGTACAATCGGATCATGAACAATCCGTCGGATTCCGATGCGGAGCTGGTTGAAGTTAGCTGAAGCCCTCATGTGGAAGTATTGTATGAAATGGCCGAAGCCCCGAAACTGATGCAGAAGCCTCCGAACCACATGGGAACGTCCTTCATGATCACTTTTCCCAAGAGATCGTCTACACAAAGATCTTATTCGAATAATTGATGGAACGTTTGTCATAAGTATAGAG